TATTGATTTTTTACAGGGAAGAAGAGAGATAGAGAGTTAGAAACATCGATGAGAGAGAGACATCAATCAGCTGCCTCCTGCACATCTCCCACCGGGAATGTACCCGCAACCCAGGTACATGCCCTTCACCGGAATCGAACCCGGGACCCTTCAGTCCGCAGGCTGACGCTCTATCCACAGAGCCAAACCGGTTTTGGCTTCTCTCTAGTTCTTTACTCTGCAACTTACCCAGACACCTGCCCTCCTCATCCCTGATTTTGCTACCCCGCCATAAGCACCTTGGAGCAGTGACTTCCTTGATGTGTTGACTATTTTGTGCCCAGAGCCTGTCACAAAACAGACACAAAGCTGGAAACCAGTGGGTGTTTGCTGGGTTGTTGAAGGAATTGTAATTGGACTTCTCTCTAGTTCTTTACTCTGCAACTTACCCAGACACCTGCCCTCCTCATCCCTGATTTTGCTACCCCGCCATAAGCACCTTGGAGCAGTGACTTCCTTGATGTGTTGACTATTTTGTGCCCAGAGCCTGTCACAAAACAGACACAAAGCTGGAAACCAGTGGGTGTTTGCTGGGTTGTTGAAGGAATTGTAATTGGACTACAGTTTTTTAAACTGGGATCAGCGGTCAGCTTGGTCAATGTGGAGATTTCTGTTATTGTGGAAGGACCTAATTGAATGATTTATTATGCAAATATAAAGGTGAACAAGGGAAAGCATTGTATTATAAATGCATTTTTTATTTCTTTTTCATTAACAAGACTGCTCCACTTCTTGGTATGAAGAGCTCTGAGTAGGTATGTGTCAGTTCCTCAGGTCTTCTCACAGGGACCCAGCCCCTGCTCCTGTGGTGAAACTTAGAAAAATGAGAGTGGACTGGAGTAGCTCTGAGTAGACTGGAGTAGCTCTGAGTAGAGTGGAGTAGCTCTGAGTGAAGTCCAATGGCAGGAGAAGGTCCAGAGGGCTCCATGAGGACTCATTTGCAGGAGAAGGGTGGTTTGTGATCTAAGCTCAACATCAGGGGTGAGGAGGACAGAGACACACAGGACTTCAATCAGCATTTCAGTCAAGGATCACAAGCTATTTTAGGAAAAACGTCAACAGCACACCAGTCCCTGCCCTCCAGCCTCACTGCGAAGCACAGTGTGGGTCTGCCCTAGGTTCATACCGGGGTCTGACCCAGTGGGGCATCGCCACCTCGGTGGGCAGGCATCCACCAGGATGCACACAGTCAGTCTTCCACAGGAACATCATGTGGCAGGGCCCGAAATGACAGTGCTAGGGGGGGTTTCTGCTCCCTCTCTGCGTTGTGGAGTTTGGAGGCAGGACTGGGCTGAGTTAGATAAAGTCCTCAGGGTCTTGGGTCAGTTCGGGAGAGTGAAGGCCCCTGGACGGATGCTGAACTTCCTGCTAATGAAGAGTTGGGTGTGTGATTAGTTGGAAAAATAAGAGATACCCTTATTTGTACCCCGAGTTGGTGAGATGCTCTTACAAGTTACAGGACCAGTCAGCGTTATCCACTCTGTCTCTAGCGACAGTAACACACCCAGTTCTTTTAAAATTTCGAAATTAAGAGCAGCAGTTGCATACACATGCGTGCCAAGCTATAGTTCACAAAGCTCTTAGCCATTCGGGCTCTTCTCTGAGCCTCCTGCCAGCCTGTGAGGTAAGCATGGCCGAGTGGTGGTCCTTAGGAGGCTCAGACTCAGAGAGGGACTGTGACTTGCCCATGGTCACCAACAAGTCGTGAGGCCTGGTCCCACCCCTGTTGTAGGGCTCCCAAGCTGCACCCCGGGGGAGGGGGAGGTGCCAGGCCCTTACCTGGCCTGCTCACAGCAGCATCAGGACCACGATGGCCATGACCATGAGGACTCCGGCCAGGATGCAAAGGCCCAGGAAGACAATGTCACTGGTGTCCTGGGCCACCAGGGCCACAGGGCTCTCCAGCTCCTCCACCTCGTCGCTGGGTGGTGCTTCCTGCAGGTGCTCGGCCGTGGCAGCGTAGGGCCCAAGCCAGTCGGAACCGGACAGCAGGTGCACAGAAGCCTCCTTGCGCCGGGGCTCACAGAGGACCTCGTACTGGTGGATGTCCTGCCCACTGGCCGAGAAGTCGATGTACAGTGTGCTGACGATCACTGAGGTGTTGTTCCTTCTCTGTGTGGGTCACAGGGGTCACTCACACCTGAAGGGGCCCAGAACTAACCCTGTCCCCCTAGACATGTGGGGACTCGGTACCAAAGGGGCAGAACCAGGAGCCCAGGCTCTGTCCCAGCTTGGTCACTGACTCCCTTCCCCCCCCGTAGACGTTCGCTATGGGGGTGTCTGGAAGGACAGTATTAGGTTGGATGGGCCAATATTTGCTTTGGCTTCAAAGAGGCAGGTCTGTGACAGACAGTGACAGAAATCACGGGGACATCCGCCAAGTTCGAGGCTTTGTATCTTAAGAGCATTTAATTCTCACAACCCTCTTTTATTAGTGCCACGAACATCCCCACTTTACAGGTGAGGAAACGGGCCCAGAGGCTAAACCCCTTGTCTGTGGTCGCACAGCACACAAGTGACAGGGAACATATTCTCACCCAGATCTGCCCAATCCTTAATCAGAACATGGAACCGCACAGTTTCATCTCCCTTCCTCGGCAATTTACAGACGTGAGCACTGAGCCCTGGCAAAGGCAATAGCGCCCGGAACTAGGTCCGGAAACCAAGGCTCCTGCCTCCCAGATGGAAACTCTGTCCCTGCCGTTATGTGACCTTCCTTCTGGAATCTTTTCTCCCACTTATGTCTGCAGCGATTATGTGTCCCTGCTGTGGAGTCCCTGGTCACCATGGTGGCACCACCTTAAGGTTGGGAAGAGGTTGGCACAGTGTTGCCCTCCCAACCCCCACGGAGGAGGAAGGCAGGAATCAAGCTGCCCTGAGATGGTGAGGTGCTCAGGCGAGGACTGGGGGGCAGTATTTATTTATTTTAAAACATATGATTTGATTTCAGAGAGGAAGGGAGGAGAGAGAGTAGGAGAAACATCTATGATGAGAGAGGATTGCACGCCCCCTCCACACACACACCCCCACTGCCACACACCAACCCCCCCACACACACACCGCCACCGAGAATCCAACCTCAACCTCCTGGTTCATAGGTCGATGCTCAGCCACTGAGCCACTCAGCGGGGCAGGGGGCAGGATTTAGATGGGCAGACTAATGTGGTCTGCAGTGGAGCAGTGCTGGGCGGGGGGGCGGGGGGGGCGCTGCAGTGATGCAGGGCTACACTCCCACCCACCCTAACTCTGCAGCAGCCATACACTCTTCAGGTTGCCCAACTGCCCCTGCCCAGGGGTGGCACCTTTGAGATGAGGCTTCTAAGAACCAAAGCTGCCTCAAACAGAGCGAGCAGCGTGAGAAGTTCCATCACTGGACACTTCAGAGAAGGGAGTTTTGTAGATCAGGTGACCTTGAGGGTCTCTCCCAACTCTGATTCCCAAAGGCCCTGAGTCCATGTCCCCAAGGAGCCTTGGCATTTGTGCCCTCGGCCTGTCAGCGGCCACACTCTCTGAAGAGGAGGATGTCCTAGATTTTTGTAACAGAATCAGGACACGGAGCCAGAAAAAGGACCTGAGAGGGGAAGGGGACCCGCAAAGGGCCGCAGTGCATCTCCATAAGGAAGGTAGGAAAATCATACAATGGGGAGCGGGAAAGGTTTTGATGAGTGAGAGGCCGAGGAAGGAAAGGCCGCGCGAGATGTTACAGCTGTGAAATCAAGGCTGCGATGTTTCCTGCGACGCACAGAAAGGCTGCCGTGGCTCCTAGCCCTGTGAGCCATGCACCCCGAAAGCCGCTCCGTGCGGCCACTGCTTGCTCTTGTCTAAGCTCTAAAAGCCTTACACTAAGAATCCGCAAGACAGGTTCCCTGCTTCTGTTTCCATGATACCAACTCCAGGGCCCTATGATTCCAAGGGTCTATGATTCTGAAGGCCCACGTTCTGGTGCTGGTTCCATGACTCAGAGACTCTGCTTGTGAGCTCCTCCTCCTAGATTACACAATTCCTTGTTTCTGTAATTCCTTGTCTCCATCATTTCATGGTTCTGTGGAACGTGTTCTGCCCCAAAGATAACCCTGGGGGATTTAGGTCGTGGAGTAGGGGTATGGGCAGATTATCTTCGCAGCCAACACTACCCCCCCCCCTTCCTTCTCTCAGATCAAAAGGCTGTGGCTGCTGGGAGGCAGGGGAAGCAGGAGTGGGCTTGAGGGGCCGGAGGGGCCGGTAGCATACATTCGGCTAATGTTGGGGGTGGGGAGTACCGTTTGCTGGAAAGCATGTGATTTCTGCCAGGCCAGTCTGGCAAATCCCCAGATGCCAAGGCTGGGGGGGGGGGGGGGGGG